ACATTGAACACGCTTATAAATATTTCGAGACTAGGTGTCCCAGGCACTTGATTCGTTAACAAATTTTCTAACCCATAGTATAATATGACAAGAAGTACTGTGAGCACCAAGTTCACTCAACAATATACCCCCGCCTCCAATGTGAGAAGAAAAGCAAAGTCCATGTTTTGCTCTGGTTGATCCAAAATAAATGTCAAATCAAAAAGTAAATTGAGAGGTGCACAATGACATTATGTAATCAAGAATCATAATTAAATTTTATTCAGTTGTAAAGCAGGAGTAGCTGATAAGAGATGGGTACCCTTCAATATTATAGAAAGAATTGCAGTGAGTATTCATGTTTTGCTATAGAAAACCGAAATAAGTGTTCGATCAAATAGCAAAATAAAAGGTGCTTAATGGCACCATGTAACAAAGTAAGGTCAGACGAGACGTTCCTCAAAATCCGTTTTGTATATCTTCGTAATGTATGAAAAATATTCAAAATTTTAATAACCTTCTGATTTCTAAACCAGTTTGTAAACGTTTTTATAAAATCCAAACACTTAAACATTTGAAATTGGAAAATTATTTTTCATCCCCAAAGGATTATATAAGAAAAACTACCCCTGGTATCTTGCAGAAATGCCTGGTAAGGTACCTCAATTTTTTGTGAGTAAACATGTTTAACTAGCAATACTTCAATGACAAACTCTCAGAAAAATTTTTCTGTTATTAAGGAACGTCTCGTCTATCCTCAAATTTCATTCAGTGGTATAGGAGGAGTTGAGTAGAAGAGATTGGTACCTCAAAGTGTAACAGACGGACGGACGGGCATCCCGATCACTATCATTATACTGTGGGTTAAAATCTATTTTGTCTAGGAAGTACCTAGATGCATAGGAAGTAAGCATCCCTGACCATTACGAATGGTCCTCCACAATGATTAGCGTTGAAGCTTGCATTGAATTCTTATTTCTGTTTGTGTCGACCATAGTGACGTACATGTAATTGACGATTCCAACAATCCACACGTCTGTATTAAGACTTATCATAATAGTAAAATGACTAATTATGACTTTGAAGTTTTTTAAATTACTTCTCTTTTATGTTCCTATGTCAAACTTGAACCCCCGCATTTGCAACTAAATTTTCAGAAGTTTTTGGGAGTTGAACTATGTTCAATCTCCCATGGTCATCACGCATATAACATGTGCAGTAATTTGTGTTGATTATATAGAGCCGAAAGCGAGGCTACTGTGTCGACCAATTTACTCCGATGATATTCAACAGAAAACATGCATAAACATCCGCTACAAATAGTGCATGTCACTTTCTCCTGAACTGATCTAATTTTTATAATTTGAAATGTAAGTAAATGTAATGATAAAGTAATCTTATTTTGAATATTAGATTTCGTTCAAAGTAAAACTAAATTATAAAGAACCTCAAAAGTTTCTCGTAATGGATCTCATTTTTAGTGTAGCGTCATCTATAAACACTGAAAGAGATACGAACGACAACTCTACATACTGACGGCAAGCGGTAAATCTAGTCTTTCCGACTCCCAACGGTCCCGGATTTTGGATATTTAACAATTTCTTTTTTACCGGTGCACAGAATTTACTATAACTTTTCCTGAACATTTTCTTGGTTTAAATGAATTTATTAATGCATAAAAACTTTAGGAAACATAGGTATTTATTACTAAATCAGCAGTATCACCTGCCAAAAACGTTAAATCTAGTACTCTTTTATAAATGTTAAAACCAAAACCGGACACCGATGATTAAAAACAAAAAAATGAAGTATATTTTTGTTTAAATAAAAGGAAAACCTCATTTACATACCAGATAATTTGTACGCACACAAACTCTCACATATACCACTGTTTTTATGTTTGGTCACTAAATATTTGTTTTTAACTTGGTATTGCTTTTTTCTTCATAATATCCAAAAAATTAAGTTCTGACGTACTCCATGTATAATGTTCGTGTAATTGAAATACATTTATATTCACAGAAAAGTTTTATATAACAAACCTGTTAGCTCTTAAAAGGATGTTGAGTGAAAATCCACATTTTATCAACATTGATATTATTCTTGTGAAACTGAAATTTTCATAACACATTGGTAAAGGTGCCAAGGAAAAATATATTACAAATCTGAAGATGAACTAGAGGTACTAGGAGCAGTGAATTATTAAATGATCAACCTCCTTTGATATGAATATAATGGGAAACCCAAAATATGTGTAGGATGAAAAAGTAATAGAAGGTGCTCAACGGCAATATGTAATACAGATTCTACGAAGATTTCATTCAGTTGTGTAAGAGGAGTTGTGGATAAGAGATGGGTATACCTAAAGCGTAACAAACAGATGGACGGACATCCCGATTAATAAATACCCTCCCGCTTTTCAAGCAGGGGGTATTGAAAAAAAGGACTAATGTAGGCAGGCAAGCATTATGGCCTATGCATTTTTTCTCAAGATTGTTGCAACAGAAAAAATCTGAAACAGATGTCTATATTTAAAATAATAATATTGTAAATAATATTGTAAATGTTCACTCACTTAACCTCCCGATCAAAGATTTTATTTTACACCATGTTCAACTCCCATGAGTACTTTCAGTACCTGGATTTTTAATTATCTCTCCTCGAAATCTCTCATTGAAAGAGGTCGCCCACGTGACTGCAGTGGTTAGAGCATCTGCTCTAGAGTCGCAAAATAAGGAATTGAACCTTGCGTCGCGGAATCGAATCCTATTGTTGGATGTGGAGCCCGGTCCTTCGGATGAAACCATATAAACCGAGGTTCCGTGTCGCAGTAGGTGCTGGCACGAAAAAGATCCTCCCTGCTCAATGACCCTAAGTGCCGAGCGAGTAAAGGACAAAATTTGTAGCCCTCAACCGGCAAGTTGTGGCGTCTTCATATGAGTGAAACATTCTCAAGAGGGATGTTAAACAACATACAATTAATTAATCAGTCCTTGAAAGAGAGCGTTGCCCTCTCTTAAAAACTATGCCCCTTCACACTTAGGTGCTATGCGACGAGTTTAGTTGAAATTAACCGAGTGGTACTGAAGAAGTCGAAAGTGTGAAAAGTTTACAGAGAGCACAAGAAAGACAGACAGACGGACACCGAGTACGTTTTGATGAGAAAAGCTTAATTGAGCCTTGAAATCGTTCAGGTGAGCTTATAAAGAGATTTAAGAGTTAGCAATTGAAAATCAATTATTCTGCTTGTCATTAAATCTGAACCGATTGTAGAACACAACTTGAAAAGCTTTCAGCGAAAAGTTAATATAAAAATATTTCTATTCGTACGGAAAAAAGCGAGCATTGATTTCCCCAAACAGTTCTCTGAAACCATTATCTTCTCCATTTCTCTAGACTTTTGGTTCAATTCCCTTTCGATATTGAAATGTCTTTAGTAGCTGAGTATTGAGTTCTTGAATAACTTTCTCTTGTCTTGTCTGTATTTTTACGAAACCTTCGGTGGTTTTCTCCAAATCTATAATGGAATAGAAATTATGTTAACACGGGGTTTAACATAGATTTCAAAAATTCCATATTCGAATTAATTAAAGCGCGTCAAATATCTCTTTTAAAACCGGAAAATTTCTATAGTAATCAACATTCTGCATAAGTTACCGGGTATTATTTACAGTTGGCTTTATATTTGATCTTAAAATCACGTTGTAAAAAATCCAAGAAAGACATCACGTTCACAAGAAACCCAGTATTTTTTATTTAATATGTGATTTTGAAGAACATACTTATTTTTTTTTTAGTGATGTGTCTTTACTCTTTGACGGCTTATCATATTACTCCGAATGGGCGGTATTTATATACAAGACCGACAACCGATTGTTACTGGCATCTACCATTGTAGGCGTCTCATTGGGACCACTTTCCTTCTGCTGAAGAGTGACATAAGAATGACCGTCCCCCTCTTCCTTTTCCTCTATTTCATATGGCATCTTCAGGCTCTGGTCCAACTCACCGATTTCGTGATAAACGTGGGACTGTCTGTTAAGATAACTCCTTCTGTTGGGTAACTCTTTTTTGTCTTTGGGAATTCTATTGCTAAAAAAACATCTTTAAACTTCCGTTTCAAAATATTTTACAGCAAAATCAAATGCCCTTTCTTTTTCTTTCCAAAAGATGTGTGCACATTTTAAAGTAGACATTCAAAAGGAAAGGCCAATGACCCGTGCGTTACACTTGACTTTATTTTTTGTTTAGAGAAAGAGATGGTTTTATAAACTGTCAGAAAAAGACTCTTAAGGAGGAAAACCACACTCTGCATTTAATAGATCTCTGGATCATCCTATTTAAACAATGGTTGCAGCATTGAAAGACCAATATTAGCTTTTAGTTATTTCATATTTATTTTTTTTTTAATAAAAAAATATTTCTGTAAATAAAACACATAAATTGTGAATATTTCTTAAACTTGTGGTTAAAATCTTCACAAAACCAGCCACAATTGGGGAGAACATGAGTGTTAATCATATTCATAAAAGAATTTAAAATGATTTTTTTTTATTTTCATACATAATTTTTCATTAAAAAAAGTAAAAAGTCTATCCAGCCTTTCTTTACATGTTTTATTATATATTCATATGATGCATTCATTTACAGCAAATTTTAACTCGAAAGTATCTAATTTGGATATAAATCTTTTTTTTTTCATTTTCTTTGAAAAAATACAAAAAATTCATATGATATATTGAAGAGCTAATATCGGCCTTTCGGTGCTAAAACCATAATTTGATAGGAATGACTTATAGATCTATGAAATAAATTGTTGGTGTGGCATTTCTCATTAAGGCGCCCCTACCTTTTAAATTTAAGGCGACCCACAAGGACAAACACCAAAATCAATAAAACACCAGCAATTCCTCCTATTACTATAGTAATATTTAGCATTATTCGATCGAAAAGGAATTCAATATACAAATCAAGAAAGTCGAAGAAAAAGATTGTTAGAAGAAACTTTATATGTTTATTACCATAGTGTAAATTTGTGAGTATAAACGTCTCTATCTTTTTCGTGGTGCTTCTGGTGATCTCGATCTCTCCTTTAAAAATGGAACAAAAAACTGTAATCATTCCAGTGTGTTAAAAAACAATATCAATTAAATTGAAACGAAATCTAAAATTAAATTGTAATGTGATTAATTGTTTTGAAATAAGATTAATGATTTGCAACCACTTATTCTACAAGTATTATGTTTAGATTATAAACCGGGTTACCTTCAGTCTTGTCATATGTTATTGTTAAAGGACCTGAAATTAAAAGAAGGGGGACGTTTTATATTTGTCGGATTTTATCTTTTTTAAATCAAATATTTAATATATATTTTGTACATCTTATTTTTTAAAAATTCAAACAGATAATGTAAATACATGTGTATTTTTTAAATATCATCTCACATTCAGAAATGTGAAATTTAGTTTTATCCCACATTCCTTCTAGTTTAGTTTGTATGGCACTTAGGAACCTCCTTTTGTCGCTAGTATAACATGTTGATTTGTTTGTATCTGTAATGGCAGCTATTCCATTGTTAACAAGGCGGATCACAGACCTAAATCAAAAAGGAAATCATTATTCATAAAGAATTTGGCTGCTTTGCTGTCAATTCAACTTAGTCCCCAGAAGAGGTCTTGGTGAAAACAATATTCAGAAAATGTTGTTTAAGTTGATAAAAATCATTATATAAATCCTTTGATGAAATATTTATTTTTAATATCCATGTGCGAGTATAGATATTTTTTTAAGGTTAATTATTTTTAGCTTTTTTGGGAATACATCAACAGAAGCTAGAGGAAAGTATCCTCACCAACAGAAAATCTGTTGGGAATGAGGCAACAAACCGGTGTATGACCCTGACTTAGCTAATTTCAAGGAATTTTCAGCAGCACATGGCGAGGGAAAGCCTGTAAAAGATTTAATTTTCATATTATGTTCACATTGATTAAAATGTAGACGATACTTTCATTGTTTTTGCACAGTTAATGGTATATAAGATACAAATGGAGAATGACGTAGAAAAAGAATATACAAAAAGAACAAGACTGTCGATTTAATTTGTAATACTTTCTGCAAAAATGAATGGTGAGTACAAGTCCAAATTGCTTACACTTGAGTCTTAATTGCTCTGTAATTACATTGTGCTCCACAAGGCTGGATACGATAGCCCTTCTCATCATCCAGGAGTCAACACATTCTATCTCATATGTTTTCTCCACGTGGGAAATATGACAACTGACCAATTTTTCAATTTCACTAAAAACCAAAACATAATTACACTTCAGTACGCAGATAAGCGGTTAATGATTCCTGTATGTGCATTCTTATAGCACTGAATGTCTCAATTATTTTTCAATTCAATATAAATGTATGTTCTTTTTTTTTTAGGAAATAGTTTCTCACTGCCATTTAGGTATTGTTGATGTGATACACAGAATCTTTCTCAAGGAGAAAAAAGCACGGACTTTGAATATTTCTGTATGGATGAGACATGTTTTACGGTATTTAAAAAGAATTAAACATGCGAGTTTTTCCTACGGCTTTTTAATGAAAGATTACCTGCAATGAGAGGTTTTCATGGGACATCTGTACAAGGATCTCGAAGACTTCAAATCATAACACATATTTCCTGTTTTGATACACGAAATACATTTATCATTTAAATACTTATCATATCGTTATTCATTTAATATTTTTACTGAGAAATCAACTTAAGTAGATGTGTTTATGAACGCCAACCATAACTGCTGATAGCAAAGGTTGTGGTTTTTCAAATGTAAGTATGGTAAAGAAGAAGAGAATGCTGTTAAAAAGAAAGAATTCATCTCATTAATTCATATATGAAATATGATAGCCCAAGCAAAGCTGAAACATATGAAATATGAAAGCCCAACCAATACAAAGTAAGTGACAGGATTGATTTTTTTTTAAAATGGGTCAAACTCCAGGTCAAACTTGTGGGTATCATCAGGAAGGTCTTTTTAACAAACATTACATGTTAGAAATAAAAAAAGACCACATCAGCAACTGTTCAAATGTTATGGCTTAGGCTAAATTAAGTTTTCAAACGTTCTAAAGGTTAAAAATATTTCTATACTCAAAAATAGGGTTTGTCACAATAAATACGTGTGAAGTATAAAGTCTTAGCACCGAATACATCGAAGGTGTGGGTACCAATCAAAGCATTTTTTGCGGATAAACAGACATACGGACGGACAGACAGACGATGGTCATTCATTGAGACTAATTTTTTTTTCCTTTAAATTACAATCTACTACTCACGAAAAATACAGAATTTAAATATTTCAAAACCATTTGTATCTAAGGTATGTCTTTCGTAAGATTTTAATTCAAAACTATATATTATAATTCAATTTAAATAACACATTTAAAATCAACAGTGTAAACTGTACAATATTCAATGAAAAAAAAAACGCTCAAAAATCCACAAAGAAGCAAGATTTATGAGGGACTATTTCTTGTGGTGGAAGGATATTTAGCAGAAAATTCTGCAAATCTGCACAGTTATTTAATTTATTATCTTGGAACTTTAGCCCCACATACTTTTACTCGGAGAATCTTTTCCGTTATGATATTGCTAGGAATATTTAATATAGGTCTCAATTTATTTTTAGAACAAAATTTACACCTTCCCTCAACAAACTTTGCCGGGAAATAAAGATATGTTAAAGAAGTCAAGATAACATTTACACCGTTTTCCGCCTGAAAATCACATATTTTGACCAATATTTCAAAGTTAACAACACTGTTCTCTACTTTTTTTCCCATTATTTTAAACTACCCGATACTTGTGACTGATCAGCAATTGAGTCGTAAAAAGTTGATACAGCAAAATGTTTTATTGCCTATTTAGATTTTTGATGTTCCAAATTATTTACGTTTTAATGCAAAAAGGTCACACAATAAATTACGCGCATTAATTTGCAAGATTTGTTCAATGATAAATATTATTCAAGCTATTTTACGTAAAATAAGATTAAACTTGTATTTATTGCCGTGGTTACATCTGGCAAACTAATCCAAAAGTAATAAAAAATACGCTCATTCAAGTGTATTTTTTTATTTTATTCATTTCACGTGCACGCACGTGCATACATGAGCACGGTGACCATACCTTCTTGTAGAAGTCCATTACATCTACCTATGTTCTAAATCCCACCCCGTATGGTTGAAAATCAAGGGCGTTTTTGCTGTTTTAAGTTTCAGCCAATCAGATTGCAGCGCACGTGTATGCATGTGCATGGTGACCATACCTTTCTCGTAGTAGTCCATTTTATCTATCTATGTTCCAAATCCCATCCTGTTTGTTTGAAAACCAAGGGAGTTATAGCTGTTTAAAGTTTAAGCCAATCAGATTGCAGCGCACGTACACGCACGTGTATCCATGTGCATGGTGACCATACCTTCTTGTAGTAGTTCAATATATCTATCTATGTTTCAAATCCCATCCTCTTCGGTTGAAAACCAAATGAGTTATAGCTATTTAAAGTTTAATCCAATCAGATTGCAGCGCACGTGCATGCACGTGTTTTCATGATAACTGCTATATATCATATTGTAGGATATCCTAATCCATGGCTATATTTAAAATTTCAAATCATTTTGTCAAAAAACAAGAAAGATATTGAGACTTTAGTTTCAGCCAATCAGAGCGAAGTGCACGTGCATGCGCGTGAGATCTTGCTATTTTGACCATGTTATATTGTCTATGCTACTAATATATCCTTTTATTATGAATTCTAAAGCATTTCATCGAAAATTTAAAAAATTACATCTATATCAATTGAATCGGTCATTCATCATGTTGCACGTGCGCGCTCTTGCAAGCACGTGCGCGCAAAATGACTTTCGTTCCGCAAATCTACATTACATGTCTACTGACCCTATAAACATTTCACCTTAGTCTGATGTGTAGTTTACAAGATCACTCGCGGACAAAATTTTCCCAGGAAGAAAAATAATAAGAATAACTAGAATCTTGTTGCCATGGCAACAAATAAGTCTTCCGTTCTTCTAAATCTGTAAGAATTTGCTTTTTTCTCTGCAGAAAACATAGATATCATATGCACTCTGAAAGAAAAAAAAACTGCAAAAAGGTCTTTCAGTACTTAAGGTACTTTGATTTTCATGACCAATCAATTTCTTATGCATTTTGGCACTCATAAGAGCTACACGTGTATCATAGACAAACTAACGGATGAACGAACAACGTACTCTGATAAACTTCACTGTGTTTATGTTCTGGTACAATTGTGATGGTGTTATAAAAATGTCATGAACTAAGTTAGTACCACATTAAACGTAAAGTCGTTGATTTTTACAGTAATACTATCGAGATTTGTCAGCAGAAAGATTATTCAACTACAGGAATTATTCAGCAATCGATTAATTGATTGTATGTTGCTTAATGTCCCTCTCGAGAATTTTTCACATGGAGAAGCCTCCACTTGCCGGTGGAGACTGCAAAATGTTGTCCTATAATTTGGCTCTAATCGCCATTGAGCAGTGAGGCATCTTTTTGAGTCAGTACCATCTGACACACGGGACCTCGATTTAAACGTTCTCATCAGACGGACCGGTCTCCACGTCCCACAACTGAAGTCCATAATACAGATATATGATGCTCTAGCCATGTTTTTATTTTATTTTTCATTTCTCAAATTTGTTGCATAAGATTTTCTTAAAGATCATACTTAATAAAAAGCATTTCGAACAATTTTTTTGCAACGCATACAGCGTCCGGTGATTTTGATTGACAGGTCAATACATGTGCACTTAGTGTAATACTTCTTAAGCAGAAAAAATATACAGAGAGTGACTATGACGGACTATAAAATCAGAAAATATTTAATAAAGAATGGGTACAACTGATATAGAACTGATTTTTTGTCTATGTAAATGGATAGGATAATCAGGATTAAAAGGGAATCTCTCTCTCTCTCTCTCTCTCTCTCTCTCTCTCTCTCTCTCAGACATGTAAATTTCACTAGCTTGCGTAATGAAAAATCTACTATTATAGAATATGAATTCTTTATACATGTTAATGGTGTTCCAGATTTAATTGTATAACGAATTTATAATTCAATGGCCTATAGTTTCAATAATGTCTCCGAATAAAATCAAGAGGGGGGGGGCTTCAAAAGAATTACATACTCGGTAATTTTATGTTTTATGAATTAAAAGGAAAATACTTAAGGTTGCATGAACATCCATATAATTATATAGCATTGCATAAAATTGTGTTCATTCGTATACTTTATCTAACATATCAACAGACCTTTGCAGATGTTTTTGTATCATGTTTTTAGCGTAGCATTATTTCACACAGCATGCGCGGATCTAGAGGGGGGGGGGGGGTCGGGGGGGGGGTCAGGACCCCCCCCCCTGGAATTTACCAGGATAAAAAATGTATCAAGAAATTTCTGGGATTGGATTTTTTTTCTGAATGGGGTGGACCCCCCCCCCCCCCCCCCCCCTGAAAAAATTTCTGGATCCGCGCCTGCACAGAAACGCGTAACTTTCACATAATGTTAACCCTTTGAGTACTAGTATTTCACAAAAATCCAAGAATTGCTTTTTCTCATCTTGAATAACTTCTCAGGTATATAAAAGTATAGGTCATGTATAATGAATAACACTATAAGACTTTTAATCAATGAAATATACGTGTTAAAACCAAATCCAATCTATAGATTGATTTTCTTTCTTTTTAGTTGCAGATATCAATTTATTTCTAAAGGCTTTACACCTACTCTTCTATCTCTCAGTTCCCTTTTGAATAATTATAATATTTTAGAATCGAAAATGAAACTCGGATTCCGGGATAATTTCGCATTCAAATTAGAGAAAGAATATTTTTTAAAAATATAATCATAACAGACATTACAGATTTACACTACGCTGACAACTTTAAACTATGCATATACTGAAAGCAGTAACCAACGTAATCTTTCATGCAGAAGTGGATATGGAAACTCAAAGTCTAAATATTTTTTTTATGTGAAAAGTGTGGATATAGACGTCTGCGACGTCATTGGATACTACCTCCGCCTTTATCTCGAAAGTTCTATTCCCACTTACAAGTCAGAGTTATCTGTCTTTGCTCATTGTCACTACGTAAATAGAGAAAATGAATTTATTGACGGAACCTTAAATCTCCAAAATGCAGAATCCGATTGAATAAATAATACGTTAAGTATTTTTGTAGAATAATTTGTATATACATCGCTGTAATGTATACTGCGTACAATATTATTTTCTTCAAAGTGCTTAGTTGACACAGAACGGATATTTTTTTTTAGATATAAATTGTAAATAAAAAACATTCAATATACAGATTAACACTACACAGCCAAATTTAAACTAATATGCATATAGTGAATTAAGTAACATGCAAAAGAGAGAATATTGAATGTGTAAATATGTTGATCTGGAGAGCGTATATATGTCTCTAACGTCATCAATACTATTTCCGCCTTTATCTCGAAAGTTCTATTCTTATTCACAGGTCAGAGTTATCTTTCTTTGCCCACCTTATACATACTACGTAAATAGAGAAAAT